TAAACGTTTTTGGTTATAATATGGATTTGTTTTAGTGCATATATTATATTTTATTCTTCATATTTTTACTACATGTGTTTCCAGTCTTGTGATCTTCTTCAAGCAAATTAAAGGAATCAATTTTTAAAGGAATAAAATTTCTTTTAATATTTCATTGTTCATTTTTTGTATTTGTACAGAAAATGAACAATGAAATATTAAAACATTAATTTCTTTAAAAATTTTAAGAAAAATCAATTAGTCACAAATTACCTACCATCGCCTGAAGAAATGCAATCATGAAGTATTAAAACATGAAAGCTTTTTTGTAGTGATTTCAAAATGTTTTTATTATCTCTTATAAGAAAAATATGATAATAATACATATATATATATATATATATATATAGAATTGGACAAAGTCCGACAATTTATTAAAGACATTTTTATGTTTAACATTCTTTTTATAGATACAAGTATTTAAGTAAATGCTCTGCTTATAATAAATAGTATTAAATAACATTTACCAGCCTGAATGTCCGAGAAATTTTCATAGAAAATATTCGTCCTTTGACAGGATTCGAACCTACATCCTATATGGAACCATCATTTACGCTGACGTGCCTTAACCGACTCGGCCACAAAGGAGCGTTCGGTAGGCAAGGTCGAATTTACTGCTTATAAACTTCAATCTTCCATGCATAGAATTTTTTTAACTTTCTTTTCCACATCTCTTGTTTTTTCATAACCAATTCACCCCCAGCATGGCAATAATGCCACTAAGATGCAAGGGGTTACTGGGAGGGAAAGATAATGAGAAGACTTCAGAAGAAACCGAAAACCCAATCCTAAGCAAAAAACAAGAGATAAACCTCTACTCCTGTTCAAAAAACCCAGGGGGAGTGTAAACCAGACAATTGGCAAACGTATCTACTGCTATTGAGGAAAAAAATAAATAGTAAATAAAATTACAGAATTTAGGTGGAGATGTTGCATATAAGAAAATAGAAATAAAAAATAAAACAAGATTAAGTTACGAACAATGAGTGGGCAGTAGTATTCTGGGTGTGGGATTGAAATCAAGTATATGTGTCTTTGTTGGAACTGAAAGTTTACTATCTATTAAGTTTTGACTTAAAGGATATTTGTTCTTATACAATCAAAATAAAATCAAACAAAGAATTAACATTATTTTAACTTTTTGGGTGTGTGTGGAAGGTAAACAACTCAATGTACAAGGAATATGGTGAGATATGCATACAAATAATTCACTGTTCAGTCCAAATTTTTGTCAGACAGTTTAGGCTATCAAAAGATGATTAGAAACCAAAATATAAGCTGACACATTCAAAAATGAACACACTAAAATAAATAAAATCAAGTACAAAATAAATAAAATAAAACAAACTTAAATTAAATAAGAAAACAACATGAGAAAACTTCTCTGCCTATATATATATATATACACACACACACACAGACACAAGTATAGGATTGGTATAGATGGAATAAAATTCCAATGGCCAAAAATGCTATTCTTAAAAGAGTGCTCAGTACAGAGTAGATCAAATATTATTATTCATTTAAAAATTGTAACATAAACATGTTTATGTTATAATTTTTGAATGAATAAAATTATATATATATATATATATATATATATATATAGCTTTATTACTATAAACAGTTGTGTGGATGCACATGTCTGAGTATGCATTCACATTTTTTTCATAGTTTTATTAAAGTAAATGTACTTGCATTTGAAGAGATTGAACCTGCATTCCCTTATGTTGGTAAACTACATTTTTGCCAGGTATGATTTACCGTTTGACCATGGAGGTCTCTGCAGCAAAGCAAAACTCAGTTACCCTCTTGTTCGGACATTTTGATTTCTTGATCTGCTAACTTATATATTTCTGTCCCTGAAACATAAGTAAAATAATTAAAGCGATTGATTGATTTTAATCTGATATTATTCTTTATTGCTATAAATAATATCATTGCACCTTCTCAGACTAATGTTTTCTGCAGACATGAAGTAAAAAGATTATTGCAGCAGAATTTTGTGTAGGGAATAAAATTGAATCCAGCAGTCACACATCTCAAGAACTCATCCTCCACGCAACTTAATGACTCATAAACAAACTCCCTGACTGCAATCAAGTTATCCATTTTATAGAACCCAATTTGCATAGTGCAACATGAATCTTATTCAGAATTTACATATCTTTGAGACTCACGCTGACAATGAGAGTTCATGCAGGCCATTGTGTCATTTTTTTTTTCTTTTGAACAAGCCAACATGTGGGACATTGTATTCTTTTTCTGGCTGGCTTTTACACATTTTCGTTCTATCTTTGAGGACGTTCATTTATGCATTCACTACAATTGTATCAATCGCTAAGTCTGCAGCTAAGAAAGTTGGTTCACTACCTCATGCGAGACATTTTTTTCTCAACATAATCTATCTTACACATTTAGAAGTTTACCATTCATACATTGAATATTGCCGCCACATCTGGTCTGGTGCTTCTGCTATTTATTTAGAGATTCCTGATAAAATCCAAAGAAGAATCTGCAATGTTATTGTTCCTGACCTGGCATCTCGGCTTCAGTCCCTTACCAATCACCATAACATAGCTTCCCTGTACCTTTTCAATAAATACTTTTATGGTAATTGTACTAATGAACTTCGATCTATGGTACCTAAATTTAAGTTTAGTACTAGATTGATGACAAGGTCTCATCAATTTACAGTTGAAATTGCAAGATGGAACCATAAGTTCTTTGCTAACAGTTTCTTCTGTTGCACTTCTCACTTGTGAAACTCTCTTCTGGCTTCTTACTTTGCAGTCAACTTTGATCTTCAAAAATTTAAATGCAATGCCAATCGTTATCTTCTGTCTTCTTAATTCCTGTTCTTTTAGTATTCTTTTACTTTAATAGTGTTTTATTTTTTAGTACATTTTAGCAAGGAATACATTACAATCTCTAACAGGAAGTGAATCTACCTGAAATTAATATATACACATGCAAGGGAACTGAACAAAGTTATATGAATGAAGGGAAGGTAGCCTCTCTCATGTCCTTGCATGAAGAAGATTCAGCATTTGAAGAATGTTCCCTCAAAATCCATGCCCTTTCCAGTGCCCTGATGTGAATATACAATAATTTTACATAAAAAAGATTTTGTCTCATATTCTTATCAGATATTACTAACATACTGTTACAATTTTAGCCAATGAGAACTTGTCTGAAAAGATGACAGTTTCCCAAAACTGCAAGTGTCTTTTTATTATCTCAGTGACCAACAGATTTATGTTAAATGGATTTCTTCTAGCTCTTCAGCCATCATGACCCATGCATGTTAGCATGATTCAGGGATTTCTTAAATTTCCCATCTCATTGCAGGAAAACGTTACTCTGATGGCCAAGATCAACCTGAATATAATGTTTTTGTTGCAATCATGCTGCACATAGATTAAACAGATTTTCTATCTGGTAGTGGCTCTGTGTTTATTTAGATCAGCAAACCCTCTACCCAATTATAAATCCTGTGTTCCTGGATCATGAGGTATTATGAAGAGAGCATTTTGTTAAAATGCTTTTATGTTTGTTTGTTTTATGGCATATCAACCTCAATGGGTTATTTAATGCCGACAAAATTTTCATTGTTGGTAATATTTTTTTCCAAAAATCTATTTCTGTTAATATTTTTTCCTTCAAAAATCTATTTCTGGTAAGAATTTTCCTTCACTAGTAATATTTTTTTCAAAAAATGTATTGCTGGTAATATTTGTTTTTTAAAAATGTATTGCTGGTAATATTTTTTTTTACAAAGTATTTCTGGTATTAAACCTATTTTTACACTTTCATCGTGTTTTGATAGGGGTTTAACTATTTGCCCATAGTTGGAACCCCAACAGGTTCTACCACCCATGGTCAGGGTGGACCTGGGAACACCAGCTATTAAGAGGTGGTTCCATGCTCCTCAAAACCTGCTGATCAGAGGCCTTGCTATTGGATGTAGTTTATCGTCTAACCCAGGATGGAAAATGTTTTTATGAATGATTGCAATGAGTAAATTAATAATGAATTAACTTATGGTATGTCATTATTCATGAAGTGGGATTTATATGAATTTTTTAATCATTTCATCCCAAGCAAGGTAATGAAACCACTAAGATGTCGGGGGAGAGGTTAGCGAGTGTGAAAGAATATAAGAAAAAGAAAAACATAAAGAAGTAAGGATACTATAAGAACAGGAATTAAGAAGACGGAAGATAACGATTGACATTGCATTAAAATTTTTGAAGATCAAACTTTTCTGGAAAGCAAGAAGCCAGTAAAGAGTTCCAGAAATGAGAAGTGTGACAGGGGGGTGTCTAGACAGCAAATGTTCATTCAAACAAGTTTACAAGTTTCATGCAATTTTTATGTTATCTTTATCATACTTTTAATAGGTTTTCCTTGTTGGTAAATTAGTTTCTGTATCTTGATGTAAAGAAACTGTCCACAGTTCATGTTAGCTCTTGATATGGTTACAAAATTTTGACTGGCTTCAGTTGTTATCAAGTAAAAATGAAATACGAAGTCCATCTGTTAATTTGCATCTTTGGAATGATTTACAATTTTGAGTTTAGAACTTTTGTATTGTCACATGAGTATTTTATTTTCGATTTTTGAAACTCTTTAGTACCCTATGACCATGAAGTTATGACCATTCTGAAAATGTGAATACATTTCAGAAACCCTGTTCCTTGCCTTTGATTGTTTTTATTTTTTATGGCTTATCAACCTTTTGCAGGTTATTTAAAGCCAAAATGATTTTTAGATTGTGAGAATTTATGGGAGATAATAATGATTTACTGATACAAGTCTTACTTATTAACCCATAGCTGGGGGAGAAGAGGTGGATAAAAAACTCTCCCAAGTTTATTTGAGCATAAAAACCTGAGAGTAACCGGCAGTCTGATTTCCAACACGGAACTGTTATCCATTACACCATCTGCACATCCAAGCTTACAGCACCTGGTATTCCCAAGTGGTCAGCCATCTTGGTACTGACTAGACTCTGCATTGCTTAACTTTGGTGATCATACAAGAATTGGTGTTTCAATATGATATGACTGTAAGCTGGTCTTTGTTATCTTTCCCAAAACTAACTACATACATATGCGATGATGGCCTAGAGGTAAGATATCTGACTGATGTCATATCAATCGGGTTTCAATCCCAGCTTGAAGCAATCAGACATCTAGCCACACTGAAGAGCTGTGATACAGCAAAACAGTCTGTCTGTGGATGATATATATATTACTACAAATATTATTTATATTGAGTACATGAGCTGCTATAACTGTTTTTTATTTTCCTAAACAGTGAAATCAATATTAATTGGGTTCAATCAAGAAATCCTATTAAAGAAAAATGAGAAATGTGCCTTCCTTCAATAGGTAATTCAAACCATGTTTTCTTAAGATGGCCTCTCATAGTTAAACTGTCTGCCACACCTATAAGGTTATAGAGTAAGCAGCACAGAAAAATAAAGTGAGGAGCCTGGTTAACCCTAGATTTGAACAGGTTAAGATTGTAGTGATCGAGGAAATATCCTCTTGCAGATATATGGTGGTTGTGGACTCTCCTGATGTATTCGACATATGAGGGTCAAGCAGCTCAGTTCCTAGGAACCAACAGCCAGACACCAACAAATATGATTTGATTATAGTGATGAAAGCTTTGTGCAGAACCAACCTCACTTTTTGAAGGGCCAAATACAGAAACCTGCCTCTCTGATTCCTCAATCAAAGCTGCTATCCATTACTACACTGTGCCTCTCTCTCTCTCTCTCTATATATATATATATATATATATATATATTTCATTGAATATGACAGACAAGGTGCTTTGATTTAGTTTTTTATACAACTTCACATGTGATCTAATAATTTTTACATACATATATATATATATATATATATATATATATAGAGGTAGTAATCTGTTGGTATAATCCAGGTGAGTCCTATTAACCCAATATACAATATAGCATTTGAAATATGTTAAAACTGACTCACAAAGAGCACTCAATATAATTCCGGTAATTGTGCCTTCTCCCACTATGTCCCTTTTAACACCCTCCCTCTCTTTTGTTCCCAACTAGTCAGTATCCCATTACAAACTGATACCATAAACAGTTTGAAAAATCCTGCAAATTTTAAAATTAAAATTCATAGGTGAAAATGGTCATTAACTAAAAGTGTCTTAATCCCAATTGTAAAGTGTGTATATATATATATATATATATATATATTTATTAATGAATCTATTTTCAATCCAATATTTTTATTACTTCAAACATTCAAGTGTTCACTGTAAAAAAACTTGTCATAATACATAGATTACAGTTATGACTTTTTTGTCACCTTATGTTCTTGTGTCATAAATCAATTAACTTTAGTTCAAAAGTATTGAAAAAAAGCATTAATTTGTTTTAATTCTTGAAAAAGATTGCCCCATCCCCAATCCCTTCAGGATATCAGAGATCACGGCTCTCCAAAACTTATCTTTTGTAGCTCTTATTAAATTTTCATCTATTTGCTATATCTCTTAATCCCTATTCTGCCAACCATTTACAAAAGGTAAGTTATGTGCTGCTTTTCTCTATCCATCTTGCCAGCAATATATCCTGTGAGTGTCAAATTTTCCCAGTCCTCTTTCCTCCTTATGTGCCTATAAATTTCAACTGTCTCTTTCTGATGCTATCCTTTTCATTTCTGTTTTCTCTAAGACTTTGTCATTGCTCACATATTCTCAGTATCCTTCTGTCGAACCATATTTCTTTTGTCTCAAGTCTCTTCTCCATCTGTGATGAGATTGCCCAGCATTCACTGCCATTTAGGAGGACCAATATTACATAACAGTTCAGTAGTCTTTTCTTTGTTTCCAATGAAATTTTCCTCTTTCTTAATATTTTGCATAAATTTTGCAAGGGATCTTTTGTTATCACAATAAAATATTCGATTTTGGTGTTGCATTGTCCATTGTTGCATTAAAACACTTCCAAGATATTTAAATTTTTGCACTTGTTTAATTTTTGGTATGTCCAATTTGTAATTTGTTTAGCACAAGTCGAATGAGTGGCAAAAAAAACTGTGACTAAATTTTTGGCAAAAGTGATGTTAATTTTTAAAACCTAAAGAATCAGATAATTATGAAATTTTATTGAACTTGATGAAAATTATTCGATTATAAATTATTTAAAAGAATTTTTTTAATTTTATAGAATTTTTTTTACGTCTGTCATTGAATTAAAAGATAATATACATACACACAATTTGAATGAACTGAGTAATGTGAAAAGATTATAAGACAAAATGTGTAGCCATTTGAAGTTATTTTTATGATACCATCTGTATTCAAACTAAATATATTTTTTATTAAATATTTGCTCCTTTAAAATACTACAATTTAAATTTGAAATTTGATAATTTTTCTGCCAGTCAGTAAAGTGACAGGATGCTGAACTAGTTAACAATAAAAACACTAATTAACTGATGACCTAGTGTACTACACCATGTCCTCCATGACATTTTCTTGTATAATAGGGATGTCTTCCATCAGACCACGCAAAAAAGTTGTTTTGGTTTGATAAAGTCATAACAACACTGAGTCTATGGTAAAATCAAATTCCAAGCAATGCATTTTTTACTATTTTTTTTTTTTTTAAATTTAAAATTTTTTTTTTTTTTTTTTGACTATTCTGCAGAGAGAAAAGAGAAGTTAAATTTGATTAAAAGCAGATGAAGTGACCTGCAAGAGAAGCTGTCTGGACTAAATTACTTATCCTCACACCCTGATTGCATAATACAAAGAAATTGAGTGCATAATTGTGCACTTTGTAGTATCTTTGAATGCAACATTTAATTTTTGGTATTTTTATTCCTTATTGAATGTGCAGTCAGCACAGAAAATGGAATCAACAGAGATTAAGTGGAAATTCCATCTGAGGTCTTCGCATTTACTTATAGCAAAAGCATGAACTTGTCTTTTCTACACCCAGCCATGGGTTAAATAGTAGGGCAGATTGGGCTCTTTAGCCTTGATTGGGATCAGTCAGAAAAATTATAACTCTGAATTTAAAACATTGAAGAAGACACTGGGTAACAACTCTACTATCTTCCTTAAGAACAATCATGGTAATGCATAGTATACAAATATTAAAGGAAGCTGTGGAGAGCTATGATTGATTAAATTTTGAAATAGGTCACACTATAATCTGGGAAATTACACAGCACTTTTTAAACATAAGAATTATCAGATATCTACCTTCATTTCTATCTTTATTTCAAAACTTAAATACACTTTTACAGATTGATTTCCATGTTCTTCTGCATAATTTAGTACTTTTAATTTAAACCCTGCTTCACAACTCTTTCTTTTACTCATGATTAGTGTTTGCAACAATTAAAATTATAAACTATAAATTTGGCTACCAACTATATTGCTACGCAATGCAAAATAGTGCAGACATTTTGGGTACTAGATTCATGCACTTTGTTATTTGTAAATAACACTTAAGAGTGCCTTTTAATGTTATATGAAACAATCATTAAAGAAAATCATCTCATAAAGAATATATGTGATTTAAGTCATATTTTCCAATGTATTTTTGACAATATATTGTAGAATGAATAGTGGGACTATTTTTTCTTTGCCAATAAACATCAACATGTGGTTCCTTAACTGATATATGCATGTTCAGGGTTTCTATATCAGTCTAGTATGAGTGCCCTGCCCAAACAGTGACTGATGGATCAATGAATATTTTATAATTTTATTTATTTATTGTGATGGATATGTGAATCTAACAGCATGAAGTAAGTTTAAAGCAGTGACTATGTATATATGATAGATAAATTATTTGTATATGGAGAAAAACCACACCTTTAGTGTTTATGGGTATCATTTCCAATTTCTCAGAAATTTTGATGACAAGGTAGTGTTGTTTTACATTTATGTTGAGCGGATAGGTCGCACCCCTAATATTTTGTGAAATTTTTGGTAAAAAAGTATGACCTATCCATGAGTATATATGGTATCCACCATATTTTTTCCCTCCAAACATAGTCCAAAAATATATCTTGAATCTTATATACAAGGGCCAGCCTAAATACTTGTAGTTTCTGGCATCTTGATATATACAAACTTACTAGACATCTATTCTTTATACAAGGGTGGGCTGAAAAGTTCATAGGCAGACTGTGAAGGAGTGATGCTAGAGCTGTGAAACCTTACATTAATTTCAACTCTTCTTATTAATAACTGCATTATTTCCAGGTAAGTTGATATCAGACTGTACAAAAAAGACTTCAAAAGTAACTAGTAGCAATTTCTATTGAAAATGGATGGAATTTGGCATCTTAATATTATCAAGTACTTTCAAAAAAAGGTTTTAACTCCCAATGACATACATGCTGACATGATAGTTACATTAACAGATAACACTACTACTTTATCAATAGTGCAAAAGTGGGCAGCTTAATTTAAGAGATGAAGGGAGAGTCTGGAAGATAACCCAAGGTCTGGACATTTTGCAACTGCCACTGTTAAGGAAAACATTAATCATGTTCACTACATCATGATGGATGACAGGTGATTGGTTATAAATAAAATAACCAATTCTATTAGCATACCATGTGAGAGAGGTGAGAATATTCTGCACAATGAACTTGGCATGACAAAGATTCCTGCTCAGTAGATGCCATGTCTCCTAACACCTAATCAAAAGCTCACCAGTCTGATCACATCAAAGGAAAATTTGACATTGTTAGAGGCAGATCCATCTGGTTTCCTTGAATGTTTTCTAACTGAGGATTACTGTTGTGTTCATCACTTTGAGCAAAAGACAAAGAGACAATGCGGTGGAAACACTCCTTCTCACCTGCCCCAAAGAAGGTTAAAGTCATTTCATCTGTAGAGTTTTTTGGGATGCAAAAGGCATTGTGCTGATTGACTATCTTCAGAAGGGCCAGAGCATCAATGGAGAGTACTACACCAACTTGCTGATGCAGTTACAAAAGGCTATCAAGACCAAATGCCCAGGAAAACTGATGAAAGGGGTCTCATTTCATC